TCGATCCCCGAAGTTAAGCAGCGTCGAGCCCGGTTAGTACTTGGGAGGGAGACCACCTGGGAATACCGGGTGTCGTAGACTTTTTTGTCTATTTTAATTTTACTTTTTCGTTAGTATACAATGTATACATGTAATATTAATCCCATATTGTGTAGAAAATGGACAAAAGTGTTCACAGTTTAACTTATATGATATCTGAACTCCATGTATAACTTATATTTCCTAAAACCTACAATTACGATTACTATGATATTTTCTAATTATATACTTTAAACTATAAAAATACTTTATAAAGTTTATAGTAATATTCAATATAATTAAAAATGTATATATTTTTTGTATAATAATGAGACAAACCTTTGCATATGAAAGAAGAACTGTCTGTTTGTGTCCCAAAGATATTTAATTATATTTTCTCGCAATTCCTTGGCTTTAGTTATGAACTCATTCTCAATGTCTTTATTTCCCTTCATTTGTGCCATTTTTATGATGGCCTCTGCGTTGCCATACATTTCCGAGTTATGACTCGGTCTGTATCCCAGTCCCCCTCCAAACGGATCCTTTGTTTGCATGGATGCCGCAGAATATTCCTGAGCATCCCTTTCGGGGGTTATATAATAGAGACCGAGTTTGGGCTCGAAATGGTCGACCCAATCGTTGTATATCTTCACAAAGCCATCCAATTGAGAGACAATAAACTCTTTGTCTCCGTTAACCAAATATGTATTATAAGCCGAGTCTGCGATCCATTCAGAGTACTGATGATTACCTTTGATATCCAGTCCTCGGGCGTAGAAATTGATATAATCCTATATTATATATAAGTGATCGTGGTAATTTTAATTCATGAGTTCAATATAGACATTACTTTGGCATATCTGGTATCCCTGAGCCAACGGGTCTCGTATATCTGGTGCCCACCGGCGGCGTTGATTACACCAAACTTTTGGGCATAACCCGGGTCAGTGACAAACTCGGTCACCATATAACCCGTACCTACTGTAGTGTACCGCAAGTGTCTCTTCAGTGATGACCACCGATAGTAATACACGTCTTCTATATGTTTGTCCGGAATCTCAATAAACGGAATATTCCTCACAAACCATTGGTGTTCAGCAAAATCCTTCACTTTCGATG